GATATTAGAGCTGGTAGGATGTTGCCAGCAGAAAAAGAAACCCGTCAAAGACAATTAAAGGGAGAACATTTGATGAATTCTGCACTAAGAGACAATATAAATAAAAACTACTGGACCGTCAATTCTGAAACAATACAAGGAGTAAGATATTTAGTTGAGAGAAACATGAAGCATAATCAAATAGAACGCCAATTTTCCTGCCAATGTATGGATTTTAGATCACGCAATCTCCCTTGTAGCATGTGTATGCTGTTGTATTTCGCTATTTTTCAACACCCTCTCCAACAAATTCTAAAAATTCACAATCTACTGCTATCAACAATCATGTTCTGATATTGAGGAGCGACCACAAGCTAACTTTGAAGAAAGACCACAAGCTAACTTTGAGGAGAGATCACAAGCTAATTTTGAGGAGCGACCACAATCCAGCATTAATGATCAACTGCAAATCAGTATTGAGAATCAATTACAATTCAATGCTACTGAACAATTACAACCTAATACAACAGAACTCCCACAACAAGCACAACTTACTACTGAAGAACTTATTTTTAACATTCAAAGCCTAACAAGAGCCCTTGATGACCTTGATATTAACCGATTACAAGTTGTTCACGACCAATTATCAAGAGTTATTAGTGATGTTCGAAGACAGGAAAGGAATTTTCAGAATGGTGACTGGGTAGGTGAAAACCAGCGGGTAAAATTCCCACCAAACATGGGGTTTAACAAACAACGAAGATAAATTTATGGTATAAAACCAAAAACTTCTGACCACGCTCATCTTTTATATTACGTAAATAGAAAGATAAATACTGATGTATATAATTAAAAAAAAAATTAATAAAAGCTATGCTTTCGCTCAATAAAGAACAATTATTGTTTATGATTAGCTCAATTACCTTGCAACTTTTTCCAGGTTTAGCCTTTAGAGTTACGCATTTCAAAACCATAATCTGCCAAGAGAAATAGTTATGAAAATTAATAAAATTATCTCTAAGATAATTTAAGATCTTGTTAGCTATAATAGTTACTGCAGAACAAACAAGAACATAGCATAATTAATAGATTATTTCAAAACTTATTTCATTGCATCATTCAGCCAAGTGTCTAATGATTTATAATTTCAGCTTATAATTAAATACAGTCAACTCTTTCTGTACTGAACCCTAGATTCTGGCCAAAAAAAAGAGTTCGTAATATAGAATTACTATGTTTTCTTAAGAGCTGTAGCTCTTATTATACCGAACTAATATTAAATTTAAAATTTTCGAGTTCGTTATATCCAGAGTTCGTTATAAAAAGGTTCGTTATATCCAGAGTTGACTGTATTTGATAATAAGTTACGTGTAAAAAAATTCATTTATAATTTTAGATTCGCAGACTAAATATTTCTTTTGAAGCAGAAGCTTTCGTATTATAACCCATAAAAATACGCGTCTGATCTTGATTTGTCTAATGAGGTGCGTCACTAGTGCCTGCAAGTATTTAAAAAATTATTGATTTAAATAAATAAACGATATCATTACAAATTTCATCTTGTACTTATCAAGATTTTCTATAGCGTGATTACAATTCGACATTTTAGAAAATAATTTCAATATGTAAAAGAACATCTTATATACGATATTTATTTTTGTGTAGCTAAACCGCTGGTTCGTGTGACTGCCTTTATTTTCGATCTATACCGCTATAAGCTTGTTTTTAATAGATAATCTTTGATTTAATATTGAACCCTGAAAAATCTGGAATTTGATCATTGTGAAACCATAATATCGATCGAAAATAGAATGATTGACTATTTGTAGCACATTCGCAGAGATTTATAGAAAAATTCACACATCTAGTTCTATATTCGCACGCTTTTGATATTGAGTAAGCATAAGGCGTAATTGATTTAAAAGTGAATATTGATATAAAAGTTGTTTGGTTACGTTAAGTTTTCTCTCTGTCTGAACAGTTGTTGATAACTAACATTATTAAAACAGAATGCTTATTGCCGAAACTTTGTCCATTGACCCTCTTGTTTCTGATGAAGTTATTTCCGATGGTGTGTACTGTATTATCAATTCTTTATATTTACTTAATTATGACTTGCTAAATTTTAATTATATTGTTAAGTCGTGGATAAATTTGTACCCGAGGCAGTGCTTAATATAAAATACGGTGAAAAGAAAGTTGAATTCGGCAATGAATTTACTTTTGAAGGTAATAAAAAAGATAGCGATATTGTTATGGCACTTTGTTAATATTAGTTTTGTTAATGATGCTAATTGAATTATTGGTTTCTAACAGAAACTCAACAAGCTCCCGACGTTAGTTTTGTGCTTGGTGAATCAGATTCTGATAATAAATCTCGATATACATTGATTATGGTAACATTGTTAATTATGTAAAAAATTATCATTATACCGTATTTATTAAACATTCTTGTAGACTGATCCCGATGCACCAAGCCGTAAGAATCCAATTAAAAGAGAATGGCGTCATTGGATTGTTGGAAACATTCCATGTAATTACTCTGATGCATCTTAAATTTCTTACAGATTAAGATGTTTAACATTATGATACTTAACAGCTGATGGAAAGTTGTCCGAAGCAACACGCCTTGATGATTACCTAGGACCAGCTCCTCCCCATCAATCTGGTTTTCATCGGTATGATTTATAATTACGTAGCTTCAATATTGATAATATACATCGGTAAATGTTTATAAATATTAATAAAGCAATTTTAAATTTTCAAAGATATGTATTTTTATTATATCGTCAGCCAGTTACACATATCGAATATCCGCAGTTAGACGAAGCAGCAAGACCTG